TTCCCCACCGGGGATCGAGAACGGAGATGGGGGTGATTTGGGGGTTGGGGATAGGGTATGTAATCCTTGTCCTGAACCCACCCCGTTGCCATTCCTTCCTATAGGGATGGCTACGAGGTAAGCTTTTTATAAGTTGTTCAAGTTTGATATCTATCTATCTATATATATATAGGGTGTTATCTCGACTTAGTGCCTCGACAACTAAGGGAGACCTCGAATGTTAAGGGAAACCTGCAATCAAAGGCAGCTGAGCTCAAACTTCCGAGCTTTTGACTCAAGCCGAATACAAGCTCAAGTCTCTATCTCAAACCTGATAGTTTATGAGTGAGCCGAGTTCTAATAGCCAAATCTTCGGCACGGCTCAGCTCGAATCCACCCCTAACATTCTAACATTGTTGCAAGTAGACCCACTTTCGTGAGGCATGAAAATGTCTAAAATATCCATCCAGATACTTTTGAATAAAATGTTTTTTCAAATTTCCTCTACATATGAATCTTGCCCAAATCCTTCCAATTGATTTACTTTACAAGTTTTCCATTCATATCAATCACTCAAAGGTAAAGTTGCAACTTTATTAAATTCTCTTTTTTKTTGTTGTTTAAAAAGTTTGTATTGTTTTTTTCTCTAAAAACCAGTCTCTAGTCTAGTTATTTTGAACATTTTTGTACCTCTTTTTAGAAGATTCAAACAAAATGGTTTACTTGCAACTGTGTTATAAAATTTAGGGGAGGTGATTGCATTTACCAAACTTCAAGAAAAGTTTCAGCAAAGGTAAAAAATTTGAGGGAAGGTTTCAGAAATTTACCCTTTTTTTTATAGTAACAAACGTACACCTTTCCTCCTATAATCCATTGATTCCATTCCATCACGGAATCAACCAGACATGTGCTGGCCAGGCCGGGCTTATCACCTGTTATAAACATTATAGCCCCAAATTGGGCTGCATCAGATTCTAGGCCTATGTTTGATTTTTAAATGTAAAAAATATAGGGTAAAAGACTGAAACATACACTGAGTCGTAAATTAATTTAAATATATCTCGAGGTTTTAAAATTGGCTTAAATATACTTTCTGGACTGATCCATTGACTTAATACCCTCTAAAACAATTCATTTACAATTTTTAAAATCCTATTTTGCTCTGTATAAAGATGAGACTTTGTTGTTTGTTGTATGTTCATTACCCCATGTTATTGTTTCAGTGTGCTTCTCTATGGAGCTATTGGGATTTCAGTTGAGAAGACCCTTGAGCAGTAATAGAATGAAGAATCAGAATAGGAAAGCGATAAGGTCACCTTCTGTTGATAATGCCCTCTATGGCAAGGTTTTAAAAACCGGAGACACAGGACCATTTTGGGGACCGGTTTGAATGGATGTTTCGTTTTGATTTAAAAAAAAAAATTAAAAATAAAGAAAAAACGGCCAAAACTGTTATTTGGGTAAATAGGTTGATAGTTTGATTGCCTGTGTCAATGGGTTGTTAATCAAATCAACGATAATTTTAGGGTGAAATAGAACCAATTACCTAATCAGTTCCTGGGTCAGCTGGTCTGACCATCCGGTCCGATTCAATTTTCAAAACCATGCTTTATGGGCTTAATGGCCTTTGTTGGTGATTGTCTGTTCGTTACTGAAAAGTTTGCATGTGGTTTAAGCACATAAGGGAATGGATTGAATTACCTGTTATCTCAAAATTTCATTTCTTGACCACCATCAGTGATAAAAGGAACTTTCCTTCTTTTATTGTAATGACAGAACAGTGGAACTAGTTTCTCACAACTCAAACAACCCACAAAACAAATGCAGGGAGTAGTCGATTAAAAAAGGCAGTCATTTTTCCTTTTATTTCTAGCTTGGGCATTCAATTGGGTATGATCATCCTTTAGGCTGCGTTTGGAAACAATGCAAATAGAGTGTAAATCCTGGTTCAGGATAAATTTGTACTCTGGTTCACCTTTGCCTGTGTTTGGCAACATTACATTTATGCATTGACAAATGATAGAAAATACATTTTCCAATGCATATTTACATTGATAATAAGATGAAGTACACCAATAAAAATAAGTAAATTTGCATTCAAATGGGCTTTTGATAAAAAAAAATGTATATATTTTATTAGAATTCGTATTTGCATCCATTACAGCTAAAGTCTGTTTGGTAAATTGATAAATTTGTCAGTGCAAAACTAACCCAACTTTGCAATTTATATGAACCGTTTTACACTACATATTCACATTCACACTTATTTGCATCGTTTCCAAACGCAGCCTTGTGTTGAATCATAATCTATACAAATTCTGTTGTTAGATAGACAGAATAGTATTTTTTTTTTAATTTGTTCCAATATGTAACTTCAACTTTAATTAAGGCTATAAGACTCATTATGAAAGGATACAAATACAAACATATACAGTGCAAATACATACAAATACAGGCTATAAGACTCATTAAAATACATATGTACAGGCTCATTTTGCACTGTATATATTTGTGTTTGTACTCCTTCCAAACCGTGGAAAGAGTACAAATACAAATATGTACAGTACAAATTGATAAAAAATAATATAAAACACAAGGTTTTACACTCTACATATTTGTATTTGTATTCTTTTAAACTGAGCTTGATGTTGTGTTTGGTTGCAATGCAAATAAATTTGCACTAATGCAAAACCATGACAGTGCAAATGATTTGAGTGTAAATTTTGACTTATTTTTGTTTCAAATTTTAGTTTGTTTTGTTTGATTGTACAAATGAAGCCAATTAAGACATGAAGCAAAATAAAGTAAAATCCAAAACAAAATTAAACAAAAATTGTATTTTTTACATTTGCATTCACATGCATTTGTAGTATTGCAAATAAATTTGCACTGCAACCAATCACGGCCTAAAGGGACAATTTTATTTCCTCCAACTTCTAGAAATGAAACCTCACCATCTAACGATTTTAGAAGAAACGGCATTGAGAAATGTTGAAAATTTTAAGGAGTATAAAGATACAGAAAATGAAACTTTTATCCAAAATATTATTTATATTAGTAAATGTTTACGTGCATTTGCACGTGGTAGTATCTCTAAGACAAAACTATTTATAATTCATGGGCAGTTTCTGAACGGTTACAAGTGGACAGTTTCTATAGTGAGAGTAAAGAAAATATATGCCCTCTTTATGCCCGTTGTATGCTTAGACAAAAAGGTAAAAAACATCCAATGAAAATTCCAGAAAGGAAGGATATATATATATATATATCTATATATGGTCTTGGACATGGACTACTTTTAGTGATATCAACATGGGCCTATATTGTGGCTCAGTTGGTAGGTTCTCTGACTCGTTGGAATAGAGACCTGGATCAAATCCCGCTGCCACCTGGGGTTGGGGGGTTAAGAGAAAGGGGATGGACTACCCTGTTGTGTAGCCCCATGAAGCAAAAAAAAAAAGGGCCTATATTGGGCCGAAAAGCCCGGGAAGGAAACAACAGGACGACATACTCAGCTTAAGCATAATCCAAATTTGTTTAACGTGAACCAATTATGACATCCTTCAAATTTGAATTGGGTCCTCCTAATAGGAATTAATGGGCCTAGGCCCCAACTGGATAGTGAAGAGGAGTGGTTGAACTTTTCTTTTCTCCTTTTCTACCTCATTCCAAGGGACAAGAATCTTAGCACTTTCGATGACCACCGATACACCCACTGTAGGGGCGTATTGGTGGGTTGCCGGAASGATACGTATCGATCGATACGACCGATATGTATCGATACTTTGAACCTTGTCGTTGTCGTGGAGGGAGGAGAAATCAGAAAGCCAACATTTGAATTYCATTGAATTCTGTTAGGGGAGAAATCTTTTACACAATTTCCACCTCGAATTCCAGATTAATTCAAACAAGACCTAGAATTATAAAAGACAAGGAAATATTAGAAGTCTAGAGTAACCAATCACCTCAACATTTTTATTTTATTTTTTCAGCCTACAAAGTGTTAGATTTTATAATTTCTATACTCAAAACCCAAATTCTTCCTTTTTTTCTGTCGTTGCACCGAAGAAGACAAGAGTACAGGCGCATGGATTTCTCAGCCTTCACTATTATCCTTTCTCTCAACTTTTCACAAGTCTGGCTGAGAAGGGAAATATTTCTGGAGCTCTCCTTTAAGCCTTGGAGATACCTAAGAGAACAATTCAGGTCCTCCACAAATCACAAAGAGGTAAAAGCAATTCTGTTGAAAATCAAAGAAGGGATAGAAATTGTATGGGCAAATAAAGTAACACTGAAGATATTCAATATGACCTACTTCTTTTACTTCACATTTGAATTACTTTCTGGCCTTTCCTCATCTTTGTTCCCTACATCTTCTCTATACAATATATGTAAGTTCCTCATCTTTGATTCAGAGCACAACTTCTTCATTAACTTACGAAGATCATTCCTACAACCAGAGAATTTTTAACACTTTTTTTTTTCTCTTTTTTCCTTCTAAGGAGTCTTTCAAATAGAGATTTGATGGGCTTATAAAATATCAACATGGACCTCTCAATTAGATTTGAAAATGCATCCACAAACGTGGTTATGTGGTATGTGGTTTGTTATCCTTGATCTTAAATTGGGTATGTAGTATGTGGTCGGTGATTCATTGGTTCCATCTAATCAAAAGATGGAAAAAATCTACCTGAATCATCCAGACTCCAGTCGTTGTCTTGAAGAAAATTAAAGATGGTTAGTTTGACTAGTTAAGTTGGATATGAACAGTTGAACTGCTTCAAGGTGATTCAGTAAGTAGAAGGAAGTAATTGACACACTAAATCTCCTAAAGTTGAGGGGAATTTCTTAACAAATTTTGTGAGCATCCCAGCTCTGCTTCTCGACCCTTGACTTCCATCTACAGAGGTGAAAATAAACCCATCACCCTTTGCCAAAATCTGCTGGTGCTGGAGCGTCTTCTTTGGGCTCTCAGAACCAAGACTGAACAAGTAAAATAACTGAAGATTGGACAGTACATAGAGAACAAAAAGGAATTGCAGCAGATCATGCTTGATTTGAATTTACATTTCAGACTTGAGCAGAGCAAGTCAGTCGATAGGTTGCTGGTTGCACATATCGCTTCAATTGATCTAATTTGAGGATTAAAATCAGCTAGAAGCACAAAGCAAGAAATACAGCACAAAAACATATTCAAGTTTCAGTCTCTTCTGCATAGCCGAGCTACTGCTCTACGAAAATCAACTTAAATTACAATCCTATAACTCTTACACTTAACCACTCAACTCGATTGCTTATGCATCCATCTATTTACATCCAAGAGAGACAATTTGTGGCAGCCCTGGACGGAGCAACTACTACTCCATTCTAATTGTCTCGAGCCTTTCCAGCCTTTTCATCTTCTGCAAAAAGAGAGAGAGAGCTAGTTCTAGTAATCTACTAGGAGGCCATTACATATATATTTTTTACATAGCTTTGCCGGGGTTTTAAAATTCTCCGGCCGACCCTGCTGCAGCTGCAACAACCATGGCAGTACAATCTCTGGTCAGAGTTTCAGAGTTTCTATCTACTGGTGCTTATCGTGCATCGCCAACTTTTGAAGACAGAGCAATCCTGAGCTGTTCCTGAGTGTACACCCTACTTGACATCTTCACAGTTGCTTGTTGGATCATCAAATCCTTCACCACAGACACACTTGCATAATGCACATCCAGGTCTAGCTCCTTGAGAGCTGTCATCAGTCTTGCAGCTGGATGGTTCTTCTTATTGCACTGGATGCGAATCATTGCTTCCCAGCCAAGTATCTTCACCTCAATTTCCATGTCCAACAACTTACTTACTTGATGATTCGAAATCTTGAGATCTTGATCAGCTTGAGGCGGAGATCCAGAGTACCGAGATGCTGCAAGTTCCTTTTTCAGGGAATCTACTTGAGATTGCAATCCCTCCTTGTTGGATTCAGCTGCTTGCAGCTTCGTTCTGAGTTCATTGATGTAGGCAATTGCATCCCCAAGCAGGGAAGCTTTATCCATCTTGGAAACATTGGGCACCACAGCTCTGAGAGCGTAGAACCTCTGGTTGAGCTTCTCGCGCCTTTGTCGCTCTGCTTCAACATGGTTAAGAGGTTCTTCTCGGCCATTAGCTGGTTTCCTCCCTCGCTTCCTGGGTCGCTTCTCCGGCTCGCCTACCCTACTGCTCTCGGCCTCTCGAACAGAAGCATCGAGATCAGATTGATCAGAATCCGCAGTTCCACCACTGGATTTCACCACACAAGAAGAAGGCAAGACCACACCAGACGTGAAGGATAACATTCCTTCATTGTTACCTCCTTTCGACGAGGCGGAACGCTTCTTCTTGTCATCAGCCACAAACTGTTGTGAATTATTCGAGAACAGATTACCATTTGCACTGCAGGAGTTTTTCTTACGCTCCCCATAATTCAAAATCTCTCCGGATTCAGGCTTACACGATTGAGCAGAACCATTCCTCGCACTGCTTCCTTCGTATCCGAATTCAGAGAAGTTTAGTTCTCTAGTAAAAAAACTCTGCGTCTGCTGCTGGTGATGATGGTTTTGGTGCTGGGTTTGGACTGATATCGTGCTAGGATTCTCGGTTAAACTACTTGGGCTTTGGTTCTCGAACTGAATTGGCTTCGTGATCTCTTGATTAGAAGGAGTAACAGTAGCAGCAGCGGCAGCAGAAGCAGCTGGGGCTGTATTAACAGAATCCTTAATTTCAATCATCGACGACGGATCCGAAAGCCAGAGGGAGGACGGATCGTTCTCGCCCTGATCGGCCTGAGACGTGGACCAAGGACCCATGTCGGAATTATTGTTGTTGAAATTAAACAAAACCCTAACCTTATTCATCAGATCCGAGCTGTGAAAAATCAATTCCGTCGAACCCAATTCAACCACACCGTTGGCCGAAGGTATACACACCATCGTCCGCAAGCCAAAAATTTGACCTTGTCTCGCCCGCTCGCAAGACGAGCTCGCGAGCCTCTCACCCCCGGCAAGCCACACCGGAGACGACGCGAAGAAAGCCTGACCAGGAAGGCCACTACCGTTGATGAACGACTGCGTCATCGACACAAGAAAGAACCACTCGGTGTCCGTAACCTCTTCATCGACGGGTTCGTCTGCAGACGCCGGAACCCCGGAAATCAACGAATTAAGCTCCCTGAGGACCTTCTTCCGGTGCTCCTGCTCCGCCGGCGAAACTGTCACCCTCCGCTTCATCTTATCTTCCTCGCCTTTGTAGTACCCATCACCCCATCCGAGTAGAGAAGCACCGGACATGTCGACGGATGATTGCCAGAATATCGCGTAAGTCCAGCTCTCACGAGCACCCTCGATTAGGGTCTGAAGCCGCTGTTGCAGTGTGTCCTGATTGAAGAACATCGACGTTTGAGATTGGTTGGTAGTCCTTGAAGGGTCAGTGGCAGTCGTCGTCGTCGAAGCAGAAGCTGTAGGCGCCCAAGAAAATTGAGAGAGATCGGAAGCCATGAATGCCTCCATCATCGATGCGTTGTCGTCTGTCCAAAGATTCATAACCGGCAACCGGTATTCCGTCATTCCACAAACCTGAAAACTAGATTGCTAGGTTGGTTCTACTTGCAAAACTTATTTTTTCTTCTCTTTTCTTTTTTGCTCTCTCTCTCTCTCTCTCTCTGCTTTGGCTTGTCAATCGGCGGTTAAGGAGTGGCGGGAATTACAGGTGGTAAGATGAGACATTTGTGGCAAACCGAAAAACCGGAATTGAAAAAGGTGAGTGGTTTCCGGTGAGAGCAAACTTGAGTGGCGCTTTGGGTGGTCGGACAGATTACAGATACGGAAGAAGAGAAATGGAGGTCCAAATCGAAAGCCTAGTTAGTAACAGGTGTGGACGGCAGGCGAGGTATGTCGGAGGTGGGGGTCGATATCTTGATTTGTGGAGGGGAGGATTTTGGATTTGGTTGAATTTGGATTTGGAATGAATTTGGAGTTCATTTGAATTGAATTTTAATATATGTGGAGCAGTCTCTGGCCTCTCTTTCATGACTACTCATGACAGACAAAGCCATCGTCTTTCTTCGAAGCATCGCCGATTTAATCGGAACCAAGTAGGAAAGCCGGCGTAGCTAACTAGCTACCCGCAGTTATTCATTTATCATTTTTATCTTTTTTCTTTCCWGAATTTACATTTATGCCATTTGACCTTCGTCTTAGTTGACTATATATGGATGAACGGCTGCACAGATGATTCAGCTAATCTGACTGGTTCAGCTGCTTTAAATTGCTTCGGATAAGTTATTCAAAGAGGCCGAAGGTCGAAGACTCGAAGGGTAGGTGTGGATTCGAGTCGAGCCGAGTCGAATAGTATCAGGCTCGATCTTGGTTCGAGACTATTCTACAAGGTTCGAGATCGAGTTCGAACTCAGTTTGAGTCAGAATCTTGAGCTCGAGCTCGAGCTCGGCTTGATCAAGAGTTTATAAATTCGAGCTCAGTTCAGCTCGTTTTATATTTTATTATATATTTTATAAAAATAAAAATTATATATAACTTTTTTTATTTTATATTTAAAAAATTAATAATTATAATATTTTTATTAAATATATATATATTAATTATAATTATATTTTATTAATTTTTTTATTTTATATGAATATATATATTCGAGCCGGTTCACAAATCGAGTTCTAGTAAACTTGAACTTGATTCATTTAATAATCAAGTCACTGAATTGAGTTCGAACTCAACTAAAATCGAGCCAAACCAAACTTTTCACGAGCTAAGCCCGAACAACTCGTAAAAGCTAACTCGTTGCCGCTCAGATATRACTGAGCGGCAACTAAAGTGTACGACCCTTGTAATGGCTGAGCCGCTGAGCGACAGCTGGTTTGTGCTCTCTGGATATTTTTTTTTTTACCAAATAAGCTATTATTTAAAGAGGTTGGAGCAAATGAAATAACCCTTCAAATGACCGACTGATAGGGATAGCCAGTTTAGGATCTCCCAATGTATCACTCACCATAAATTAATAGGCTGTGCAATCTGGGCAGGCTTGGGATAGGCATTAGTAAAAATTTAAATAGGGCCGGTGTGGGGCGGGGACGGGGAGTTTAGGATCTCTCATCTCTGTTCCGGCGAAAATCGCCATCCCTTTCCCCGTCCCCGTCCCTGCTACAGGGATAAGGTTATTCCTATTTCCATTTTTCATAATTTTTTATAATGTTAATTATTTTGTTTTTATTTTTTATTTTATTTAAAAAAATAAAAATAAAATAATTAAAATTTACAATCTTATTAAAAAAGATTTAAATATATTCAATTATATTTTTAAAAATATTAATATATATATATATTTATGTGTATATATATATATATATATTAGTGGGGATCTCACGGGACGGGATTAGGGTCCCCGTGGGGTGGGGAGTGCTCTCCCCATCGCCGCTCCGTCCCCATTAACAAGGATGAAAATTTTTCCATCCCTGTCCTGTAGGGAAAAGATCATTCCCCTCCTTATCCCATTCATGGCAAATCCCCATGAAAATTTGGAAAAATAAAAAATATTGTCATCCCTATTAAAATGTTGACTTGAGCCACAGTCAATAAGCTATATATGATGAAAACCCTGGAAACTCCAAAATGCTGTCTTTTAGCCGGAGAGAGGGATTTCTGCTAAAACTTCTTTTAAAACTTCAGCCATCTCAAATAGSTCCTTACAATGAGTGAGGAAATAAGATTTAATGGATAAACTGTTATTAAGTTGGGATTTGATACGGATATCCAATATAAAGTTCTTTTATATATTCTGTATTTGTTTCCACTAATAGTCTGTTAAACCGGTAGTTGAGCATTAATGTTCAGCTTAATTACAATAGTTTGATACAATGGCAGCCATGAAAGCATTACTTCACCCGTAAATACTTTACAACTTAATTATTCCAAGAAGATACCCAATTATAGCATAAAGTAAGGAGCTTCAGATGCATCCAAGAATTGTTAAGCATTGAGTGAAGTAGGAGTGTCAATTGGACTGGATTTGGTCCAATCCGGTCCAGTCCAATGTGAGTCCATTACAAATGGACCTAGTCCAATCTAGTCCAATGAATATTTTGGACCATTTTGGGTTGGTTCAAAGGCTGCCCAGTCTGTCCAAATTCCTGTTAATTTAGATTGGTTTCAATTCAAACGTGGTCCATTGACATCTATGTTCTTATTTTCTATCAATGGACCAGATATTGACTCAATCCAATATAAATTCATTATGGATGGACCAGGTCCAATCCAATATGTCATATTGATCCGTCCATTCCGTCAAAATTCAATATGTCTTATTGGTCCATCCAATCTGTCCAAATGGATTTTGATTTGGACAAAATCCAATCCAAAACCGGTCTATTGACACCCCTAGAGTTAAATATAAGACAGCTTTTTTACTTTTAACCGGGAAGTAGAGAAACAAACAAAACCTTCCTTATTCATCACCTTTAAATAGTTCAAGATAATTGAGAGAAACCCTTGGCCTAACCTCAAAATGAAAATGGTCCACAAAGGCAGGCACACACTACACTAAGAAGATACTTTAATACACTCCCCTTCTTTCTCTTTAATACACATTGAGATGCACACAAAACCCCAAAATCCAAGTACATAATATCTCTCCTTAGCAAATGTTACGTGATCTTTTTATTATCTTTTGGTAAGGATTAATTAGGTTAGTTTTCATTTGCTTTTATGGATCAACATTCTTACACTATGAGGAAGTTTCATGGATAACCATTCAGTGGAGATAGGGTTAGCTGAAGATTATAACTGTTCAGCAAGCTGTGGAGCTAATAATAATTCTCTACCTCAGTCATAAAATACATAGGCCTATAACCATTCAATCTATATAAAGTGGGACATTATCATTGGTACCATAGTCAGTTATATAGGCAAAGCGTTCAGCTAATCCGAATTCCATTCATAAATGGTAACTTATATCTTTTTTTTTTTTATTCTCACAGAGATCTGCCCCAAATGGAATGGGGATGGAAGTTATTTCCTCCACCAAGGGGATGGGGAAATTTCCATCCAGTTGGTGGGGGTCTGTGGGGTCACCAATCCCTGCCCCGCAGATTAATTGGTATTTATTTCTTAGTTATATTTTCATGGACTAATTGGTAATTAATTACATTTATAGCTTGGGTTTATGTTGAGTATATGTGCTTTTCTTATAGATTATTCAATGAATTTGTATTAATGTCTTTAAATATATAATTGAGTTTAATAAATTAAAAATAAGAAAAAGTGAATTTAACATCATAAAAAATAGGCAGAGAATGAGAATCGCCGTGGGAAGGGGACCCATCCCTATTGACTGACAGAAACAATGATGGGGATGGGGCATATGTGGAGACGAGAACAGTGAGGCGAAGCAATGCTACAACTGTACATTGGGAATATTTTGTCATGAATTCATGGTAACATGTAAACACGAAAATGTTCCCAATGTACAGGTGTAGTATCCACATGGATAGGTGTGGGAAAGATTTTTGTGGATTGCTCGCTATTCAAATCAAAACTAATCCATATCTTTTTCTTCGGTAAAATAGAAAAACTTTTCTTGAAGTTTCTAACCATCATAAAATTCTCCCCTATAGTTTCATTTTAACAAATACCTCTCTTGAACTTCTGAGAAACTCAACAAAAAGCTCCTTTTCGTTACTGTCCCAGACAGGAAACGTTAGATTGATGCACCAATTTTTTCCAAATATCCATTCTACTCTTTTATAAATTATTTTACATACAAAATTATTGAAATAATCCCATTTTAACTCAACAAAAAAACATATTTCAGTGATTTTGTATATAAAATTACTGAAATGATAATTAAAAGAGGTTTTTGTTGAATTAAAATGGTGTTATTTCAGTAATTTTGTATGTAAAATAATTTATAAAAGGGTAGAATGGGTATTTGGAAAAAAATTGGTGCATCAATCTAATGTTTTCCGTCTGAGACAGTGACAAAAGGGAGGTTTTTGTTGAATTTCTCAAAAGTTCAGGGGAGATATTTGTTAAAATGAAACTATAAAAGAGCTTTTTATGATTATCATAAACTTCAGGGTAGTAGGTTTTTGTATTTTACCCTTTTTTATTTGAGTTGGATTGGCAAAACAATCCATATTTTTGAATGGATTCTGTGTCTCTTGCAACTACAAAAATTCCAATATTTTATGCATAATAATTTGAATACATCCAATTGCCTATGAAAAAATTGGTTGTCTCTTTCTTTGAAATGTTAAAATCTGCCTCTATGGGACCAATCAAACCTAAAAGTATTTTTAACCCTTCTTCGAGTTCACATCAGCTCCCCACAAGGGAGTGCCCCACAACATCCCACAGCACATTCCATCCATGTATTAGGAACATCTCCCATGATAATACAAAAAATGATGAGGCATCAATGAGAGATGTTCTCAATACACAGCTGGGATATGCTGTGGAACGCTGTGGAGTTCTATCATTAAGATATGTTCCTAATACAAGGTTGGGATGTGTTGTAAGATGTTATGAGGCACCTCCATGTGGCAGGTTGATTTGAACTCTCCATTTTTACTGATTCTGGAATTGTGTGACTCAACTGCTCAACAGTAAATTAAACTTGCCAATAGATTCTTTGGTTGGGCCCCAAAGACTTTGAGACACCAAAGCCTTTTGGCCCACCATTAAGCCTTTGGTGAAGTGGTCAGAACTAGACTTGTTCATGGGTCGGGCCAGGCTTTCACTCTGTATTAACAGATTTTTCTAAGGCCCGACCATCGGGCCTACAACTTGGGCCCGAGCCTGGCTCTCATAAAAATCCCGAAGCCCGGGCTTGGGCCCGAGCCCAAAATTTAGCCCATGTCGTTACTACTACTGAAGCGGTTGAATAGAGAGAGAGAGTGAGGGAGAAATTATAAAGAAAAAATAAAAAAATGTATATATTAAATTATAAATATATATATTTCAATAAATATTATATTATT